ACACACACCTATGCACAACATAAACCCAACAACAACAACCTATGCAACAACATAAACCCAACAACAACAACCTATGCAACAACATAAACCCAACAACAACTGCAACCACAGCAACAACAACAACCACTGCTACAACAACAACCATAGCAACAACAACAACCACAGCAACAATATAAACCCAACAGTAACAACTACAACCACAACAACAACAACAACTACAACCACAGCAGCAGCAACAACAACAACCACAGCAACAACCACATCAACAACAACAGCCACAGCAACAACCACATCAACAACAACAGCCACAGCAACAACAACAACATAAACCCAACAACCACAACAACAACAACTACTACAACTACAGCAACAAAAACAACAACAACGACGACTACAACAACAACCGTGTCACAATTCATTTAAAATCTCTTCCTGACAAACGACCGATCGTCACACCATCAATAAATTATATTTATACAAAAAATAAACAAACACGCAAACATACAAAACATGCAAGCAGCAAACAAACCTACATACATACAAAAATACAAACAAACAACCAAACAATCATACAACCAAACAAACAAACACAGTCATAAAAACATACAATCATACAAACGTAAAAAGACACAAACATACGTGTGAGTGATAAACACACACACACACACACGCATACACATATGTGTATGTTTTGTGTATATGTTTGGGAGTGTAGTGTGTTGTGTCTGTGTAGTGTATGCATTTGTGTGTGTGTGTATGTGTGAGTGAGTGTTCGTGTGTGTGTGCAAATAAGTTGTTGTGGCGTTTTTAAAAGATAAATAAAATGGTATTTATACGGAGCAAAACGAATGACGGACTTAAGGACTAAAATTCATAGTAATCTCTTTCTCTCTCTCTCTCTCTCTCTCTCTCTCTCTCTCTTTTATTCTTTCTTTCTCTCTGTCTCTCTCTGAGATGGCCTTGTTTGTTTGTAGGTGTGTTTGGCTGTATATGTGTGCCTGTATTTTAATAATTTTTTGCATGTGTGTGTGCGTGTGAGTGTGTGACTTTGTATAAGTGCACGCATTTATGTACGTTGTTATGT